ACTCAGCCTCCCCATCTTATGTGTCTGTGCTCAAACATGGTAGCAGTGGGAGAAGTAGCCCATTAGCCAGTCATCCTACTAGACAAGATATAACCAAGCCCGACTAGGACCTCAACCCTTCCCACCTGACTCTAAACAGGAAGTCTTGGAAGCTGGCTGACATCCGTCCAACTCATAGGGAACTGAGGCATACAGTAAAGTACCACTCTGCTTGGAATATTGGTGTTTTCTTACACCAGGAACCCCCACCTGCCATCTAGAGCTTCCATGGCCTGCTACAGGTACCCAGGAGCCTACTTGGGAGGTATGAAGGAAAACCCCAAGAAGAGAGAGCCCAAAGCCAATGGAGGGCCACAGATGGAGAGAATGATGAGATATTAGCCTTGAGAACTGAGTTGTTTAATGTTTTTCCCATTCTGGGGATGGATCCTGGAACCTTACACATGCTAGGCAAGTATTCTATCACTGAGCTACATACCCAGCCAAGTTATTTGACTTTGAGAGCTACAGAGCACCAGTAGAGGATGTGGAGCCAGAAGGTAACATCAGCCTGTCTCTAGAGGAACAGTTCTCCACTCTTGAGTCAAGCTGGAGCCGGCCTGGGCATGTGGCTGAGGCCTGGATCAGAGGGGAGGGTGCAAGGGGAAGGAGGAAGCTGGAGGCCCATTGAGGAAACATGAAGGCTGCAGGCTGAGAACTGGTAAATGGAGGGGTCGGGGAAGGGTGGTGATGAAGGACCAGGCAGTGGATTCTAGTGTGGACCTCTGGGGAAACACTGGTTCTTTCTCCAAGTTTCAGGCCTCCTAGAGAAGTCACTTAATGCATGTTAGGACCCTATTCTCAGCAGGTGGCTAACCATAGGCTGTGAGGAGGGAGCCAGATCATAGTGAAGGGGGAGACTGTCCAGGATGCCTAGCCTGGCAAGGAGGAGAACCAGGAGAGTGTGATAGGGAGGTCACTGAGACCAGGCTCACGCCTGAGATGTATGGCATAGAGTTTTCCCTGGTTTGTAGATAAGCTTACACCAAGACAGGGGACAAAGAATGATCATGGGTGAC